GGACGTTTAAATGGACATTATTCAAAGTTTAAGGAAAAACACGAGATTCGCTGGAGAAAAAACTTTAATAGAGAACAGAATTACATTAACAACCCATCGTCTTTTTGTATTTCTCGCAAAAAATACAAGGAAATGGTCATACACTCTAAGCACACAGAATTCACTTATACAGCAATTTAGATGATAAATGTTATTACAATTCAAATATTTCAGAATAAAAGATAATCATCTTTTTTATGTCGTCCCAGCTCAAGCTCTACACTAAGCTCTCCAATCTTTTCACCTCCACCTCCTCAATTTTTCATAATTAAATTTATAAAACATCGATAGCATATGTTGAACAGTTTAATTCGTTTGGTTCAAACATTATAACGACTAAGTTTAGGGATTTACCACTCAGGTAAGTAATACCAGCTTTTGCCCTTAATATAACCTGTGAACTTTTGAGCGAATATGTATTTGGACTTTCGCCTTAGTACCGTCGGTCAAAAACACTATTAGGACGGACTCCAACGGCTAAACGGCTATTATTGCTAACATGTTTTCAAAGTCCTGTTTATACTGCGCACCCAGGTTTGGATATGGAAAAAATATCCACGCCGTATGATACATCTAACGATCCTGCTACGAACACGTACAGAGAAGAGTGCATATTTCCACTGAACTACTAAATGCGTAGTTTTTCCGAGGTGAAGTAAACAGTTTACTTCTACACCGATAGGCGTGTTTTTTCAGCACGAGGTGCAGGCAGTTAGCTTTTTGCGCTTAGCGTTGTCTTGTCGGAGGCAAAACATGTTGCCTTAGAAAGGATTGTTGTACTGTGCGTCGGAATCAGCGATAATAGGTTACTTCAGATTTCAGTCGATATGCGGAGCGTTAAGGTTGTTCATAATCAGGACATCTTAACGCATGGTAAATACGCTCGCTTACCCTCTCAGACTAGTGTCTCACTGTGGGCCGTTCGACTGTGATCGATAAATGATGAGGATGTCAAGGGCTTGTGATCCCGGGATTCAAACGCTGAGGCAAATGGCATTTATAGTTAACACGATCTGCTCAGTTTTGTCTGACACGAGTAGGCCATTTCTAAAATAAGTGAGCATACTCGCACCTTGACGGTCGGCTGTCCCTTTTCGGAACATCTGGAAAAACAAGGGAGAGCAACATCGCCATCGTCTACCTTCGTGAAGAATGATGTTTTTTGTTTTAAAGGTGATAACGTGCTCCCCTTGGCACATATTCATCGTAAGCTCGTCTTACTGAGAAAGCAGACTTTGGGTGTTGGTGTGCATACATTTTATTTTAATTGTTCGAAATCAGTCATAAACCTGCACTTTCAAGGGGATGATTGCCTCACACATGGAGCTTAACTGACCATTCGCAGAGCCAACATATGATCAGCTCTTTTGAAAAACAGCGTTTGGGTTAAACCATAACCAGGAACTTAAATGCGTATGCAGTTGGGCTAGCACGTAATCCATCTGTCTACGTCGGCCACAGCCTACGATTTAATAGGCAGGTGGTTGACAGACTTGGGCAACAAAGTGACATCAACGCTGAGGCGTTCAACCTCGGATGGACTGTGCGCATTACGTATTATAATATTACAACCGTCAAAATTATATTGACGCGCTGAGAGCCTTGCCACGAAGGACGACTAATTACTGAGTCCGTCTAAGGAGTAATTATCTGGCTTTAATTGTTTCTTTATAACTTGCGCCTTGCCGCAAGCTGAGCTCCATAAAATACAAGTCTTTCTTACTGAGGGCATGTCGCAGATACCCTCATCCTTAATGAAGAAAAAAGCATTGGTATAATCTGATAAAAAACTGGCATTGGTACGTTCTAATGCGACATGAATTAGTCGGAAGTGTTATAATAACTTAATTAATGCACGGAAAGCCGCGAAATGCTGCAGTAGGACAATATCCAACTGATAAATTTCGTTTTTATATATCAACAGGAACATAGCAATGCTTATGTGCAAAAGAAGCATTCTTTGGTTTTCTCTTCGTAGAAAAGCGAAACCTGTTTCGACAAAACCATGCTGTAAAGCCACATGAATGTCCACTCAAAAAGGGCTAAACAGACCATAATAAGGTGGTGACCTCACAGATTCTGCTGAATTACTAATTATAAAATTGGAGCACGCCGAACTCTGCATAGACACAAATTGTCTTGTCACGAAGGATTACTAAATTACTGGATAAAGCAGTCCTACTAACGAGTGATTATTTGGCTGTTAGTGCATGTTTATAAGTTGGCATCCTTCCTAATCCGAGCTCTATGAAATGCGGGTCTTTTTAACTGAAGGCTGGCGCGCATTTAACGAGGACCAAGTCAGGTCTGGCACGCCTGGTAGGTGCGCACAAGGGTAGGGCTACTTTGAGTCGACCCGGCGGTGTCTACGCATTGCAGAACAATGGGCAAGGAAAAGTTTGTTTTTGAGGTTACGCAAGACTGGCTCATTATAAAGGGAGTCCTACGCAGGACACTCTGTGGACCACATGACAGGTCTTGTCGCTTGTGGCCGTCGAAATATCGGGCTAATGTGAAGAATACGTTTTCATATTTTCTTCATACTCCTGATCCGTCATAATTTACTTTAAACAGATATGTGAAGCAGGTAGGTACGACGGGAAATACCTCTCGTATATTTAACAATCTTTCTTGCAGCTTGGCCTTTATATACGCAACTTAAAAGAAACAATGCGTTGGTAGATTCCGGTGAACGATTAGCATTTGAACGTTCTAATGCGAAATCGATTAGTCGGAAAGGTATTGCTAACTTAATGCGTGCACCGACAATTGCGAAATGTTGCACGAGTATACATTCTGGGCTTCGAATTCATTAATTCATTTGATGTAAAGGCAGCAGTCGGTCAATATCCAACTGGCATATTTCGCTTGCACATATCAACAGGAACTTAGTATTCTTTAAATGGAATATAATCGTTGTTCCGGTTTTTCAGAATACTCCTTTTTGTGATATTCCATACCAGGAAAATGCAGTACCTTAACTCTCAATTCGACGTAGCTAAGACAATTTCACGCTCAAATTGAAGGATGTTTTTATCCCCTTCTGCACATCATTGTTGATGTAGTGACAGTGACATGCGCGTGGATCAACGTTGTGATAGTAGCTCGACGTAGTAACTGCAGTACTCATTTCTACATTACCAAACCTGTTCTGGTGTCACGCCCAGACGAAGGAGACCGCTGGCGCGCAATTAGGCTGGCTTTCAAAAAAACCAATTCTGGAAAGCCGCTCAGATAGCAAGTGAGTGAAAGAACTGTAGAGGTCGCATTTACGATTCGTCTTCACGTTCTTCATCTTGATCGTATCAGGAAGGCCAAAGCAATTCGTGATTTGGCAGCTTTCTAAGCCACGGGTTTCAACACATTATAGAAATTCACATTTATAAATGTAGTTCATGTTGGGAAATGAACAGGAATATATGAAGGCTTTGCAAGCCGAGCGGCCTACGTCTTTCACAACACTACCACGCGTGCATTGGTTCTTATGCGATGGATAGAAAAAGAATTATTCCGGCATCTCCTCCGCGAAATAAAGTCCATTCTACTCAGGTACAAACGTCAATCACATTTCTTTAAATTATTTACTATGTGAGTTATTCTAAGAATATATTTAGCAGGCAACCTGGACAGCTCATTTAAATGCCGACACACTTAGGCATAGGAGTTATGGTGGAAGTCGTTTCCTTTATGAAACAGATTGCAGGTGCTTGGCTGCAGATAATGGAATGTGATTGCATGCCATAAGTATGGTAAACAAATGTTTAGAACGTACGAAGTGCGCATATTCATCCATTTTGGTTGGCCAAATATAACTGGTGGGCGAAGCAGCCTCCGCATATTGTGTGGGAAAGAGTGGAACAGAAATATATTACTTCTGCAAAATAATGTTGAAGTGTACTTTGGTAGCGGCGTACGGCAGCTAGGTTTGTCACTTTTTTAATACAATGTGTGATTTTTGTGAGCATTCTTACTCATCCAGTTCTTCGGCTACCTCGGGTGACCAGTTTATCCACTTCCTGAGAGGTAACTTAAATTACATATCGAACAGCTTCTTAACATTGAAAAGTAATCTATGATAAATTGAACCCCCTGTTTTGGTCATAAATGACATGTGTGGACCATATTCTAATAGTTTGGCACGCTTTACAGAATACTTCATGTACATTTTATGTGAAACACAAATATTATTTAATGTTGTGAGAAAATGGAAGCTAGAGCAGACCGCATTCATAAGAACCGACCCGGTGTTTCGCACTGTTACGCTTACAACAAGCCGTCGGAGCTTACATGCTGCTGAAATAATCCGGTTTTCCCAAAAATAAAATTTTTGAGAGAGAGAGAAAGGATAGAAGAATTGGGCCTTCCCTTGATCTGCCCTTCAGCCAAGACGACAATGATTCACAAAAATGGAGCTATCTGGCAACGCTCTGTGAAATAATTCAGGTCAAATTCGTTAACCAAAAAACTCCTTTTTGATCATATTTTTACTTACAACAATGGTCATACAGGTAATCAAGTGCAGCTTTGCCATCTTGTGTTTGCAAATTTCGGTCTTTACTTAAACAAACGTCAGTAATAACGTTCGGATCATGTTTGTTTAGAGTCGTTTTCACTGATCCTATCTACTCCGTTAACGGGATTTTAATATAACTCTGCTATAGAGGAAGCTGCATGGTGTGTGCTTGAGCGAAATGAGGTCACCGTATTCAGTTCACCTTAACTTTCTCTAGTTTTTGCAATGAAATATATATGTGTCCGACTTTAACATCCTCACTGAAAACCTATCAAGGTTCGAAATCTGTAAATTGGATAACACTTTTGGTTCACTTCTATAGGTTGTTCGAATGTTTCCTGGACTCCAAAATTCATTTTAATCACATAAATGCTGCGCAGTTTGCCGTGTATTTATTTGTATTGTATTGTCTTATATGGTCAGCGTTGAGATCAGTAGATTTGTGGGGCGAGCTCAAAGCGTCATCACCCCGCTAAAAATGGGGTTATGGAGGTCACGGCAAGTGGCGGAAATATGGAAGTCTAAATGGTTCCTATAGTGGGCAAGTCAACCTCCTGTTCACCATCATTTTTAACTGCGTGAATTTATTGCGTGGTTTCGATGTTTTGGCAACTGTGTTGGTCGATCTGAGATCAGTGGGAGTAGTGAAGTGTGAAAGGGTAAGAGTAGAATATTTACAGTATAGAGAGGTGAACTAGTTTATGGGATTTGGTGTCAACAAGGAGACCGAAAAAGGACAAAAATCAGCGCCGATAATTGCGGTATGAACGTCAGCGATAGTAAATATCCACCGAAATTAACGTCGTAGACCCAACTCTAGAGTGAGGGATCGTTGAACAAACGTTTTAATAGGAGTATTGTTAGCTGCTTGAAGGAAAAATGAAGAGGTTGGTAACTTTCGGTCAGTCGAAGTAGGTGGGACAAGAGATAACTCTGGGCTGGTGTCTACGAGGAAGTTACGACAGGAACTCCTGTCGTAGATATGGAGTAGACGACTGGAGAAGGATGGGCCGACCACGTTCGTCACCCTTACTCACTGGCGGCGAAGTTTTCCGATGCCGACTTCTTGTGCCTGAGATTGACAATGACGGGCATTTTGACCATAATTGTGCTGATACCAACAGAGACCATCAGTTGAAGGTTGTTTGAGAGTGGAAGATCTTGGGCGACGAATAGTCGAAGGACTATGAGGGTTGTAGACACGAGTGGCCCGGAGCTAGGAAACTGCGAGGGTGAGGGCATCCAGGCGTCGGACGACATCTGCGATAGAATGTGTCGTTACGGCCCGAGTAGAAACATTCACCGAGATGGGTGGTTGATAGTACTCGAGTATCCGGTGGGCTGTCTCAGCCAGCGTTTGAACTGACGAGGAAGGAATGTTGGGTGCAAGGATAGCTTGCACGGATGAGGGCAGCCGCTGGAGGAAAAGCTGTTTGAACATGGTGCCGTCCAGCTGTTGTCCTTCAAATAGCTGCTCCAGGCACCGAAGTAGCTGGGTTGGCTTCCTGTCACCAAGGCCTTCGTCGAAAATTAAACGCTGAAGGCGTTTTGGTGTTGATAAAGAGACACGGGAGATTAGGGCCTCCTTGAATGTAGTATAGGGAGTCTCTGTGAGCGGACTGTCTATAATATCACGGAGATCTGTTGCAATCTCTAGTGGCAATGCGGCCACGAGATAATGAAATTTGGTTTCTTCTTTCGTGATTTGCCGCAGAGCAAAATGGGATTCGACTGTTCGCAGCCAAAGGGCTATGTCACTCAGCCAGCATGTCGGCAAGTCGAATGTGTGTACCTCGCTGATGGCCTGACCGTCAGCCATGATGTCAAAGGTCACAAAATATGCGGGCGAGATAGTATAAGTAACTGGAGTAAGGGGTAGAGAATTAAACGCAGTCTGTATATTGGTTAACAATACGAGGTATGAATTCAGGAATCGGCGGACACACGTTGCGGCGAGAAAATCAGGGCGAAACAGTGTAGTAATTGGTAGCAATTGAAAGCGCAATTAAAAATCGTAGTCACGAATGTTGGATAAGATATAGTCTACTCAGGAATCCGAGATAGGAGTATCCAAACGGTTATGAACTAGTAAATAAGAACAAAGTCGTTTGCAGATAAAAGCACGTGCTTGTTC